CGGTTTTGTAATTTCAGGCGAGGAAATTACTACACGAGTTTAATAAGTCCGATATCGCACGGACATGATTTAAAGACATACGTATCCGTTTCGTAGAATTGTGTCGTCTTAAAAAAAAACCATCGTAATCGTAAACTATGAATGCGTCAAAAGATTGTAAGCGCCTTCTGTATTTCAATATTGGATCTTTGTTCCTCGAATACAGTTTACCGCCCATTTATAGCCACCGACTAACATAACAATTTGCTAACTCTGGAATAATCCTATCGTCGGATATTTAGTTATTTGTCCAGTAGCTTGTCTGTCCAGTTAGGACAAGGTTAATTTAAAGCCACATCGTTCTCATTTCCTTGGCTGTTATGTACTTCGATTACAAAATTAGGAACATTTAATTATATTGGTCGAGTCTTTTCCCAATAGTAAAAAAATATTTAAGTGTCACTGATGTCTTAATTATAACAATAAATTGTTGGTTGAAAGTGATTTACAGGGGAAATCATAAATCCGGGAGACAATTAATAATTTCAGTGTGATACTGTGCATAAAAAATTATTTCCATGTATCTAATATTGGTAAACAAATGTTGCCATGGACACTACAAGATTCGGTCTTCCCAATTTGGTTTTAGCATACTTACCCTGAAAAGGGGTTTCCTTTTGGTTGTTAACCCCAGTATAGGAGTTTTCACAAGAATTGCGATAATTGTTTTATGACACATGTCATCAGTAATTAACATGCAGAAAAACTAGTAACGATAAATATTACTTGCGACGGATAGTTCATATCAGGTCGGCATGGATTGACAATAAAAATAGCTTAAAAAAAATAAAATAACATATCGTGGCATCGTTAGAGGGCGTTAGTTTCAACAAAGACGTTTTCATTGTGGCGTATTGTTATTGTTTTGAATGACTGGGTGACCGACGCTGTGAATAGAGCTATGCTGCTCGAATAACGTACATGTTAATTGTATATTAGTTAAAATGCAGCAAAGAGTATGGTTGTGTATTATATATATATTGACAGTAGTACATGTGATCTGACCCTTTTAGACAACAAATACCAGTATATTGTTCAAAATTGAATGCCGTTGCTCGAATATTGTAATTTTTGTAAATTGTACATTTTTTTTTCAATTGAGCTACATGCATAATTGTTCTAGTTGTTATTTGTAGGTTCTTATTTTAATAACAACATAATGGCATAGAACAACCATTTGTACTGTTTCAGTTAATTCTTCACTTAATTTTCCATTCCTGCTTCAGTACTATGTACTGATCTTCAACTAACAGGGTGTTAGGGCCTTGTGTCTGAAAGTCAAATACTCCTCTTTTGATAATTAGAACATATATGTGATATGTGTATATCTTCGAGAGCAAAGGCTTTACCATTCTGATAGAATTGGAGCACTATGTGATTCTCTGTTCGCAAGTTCATGTCTAAACTATGTTTATCTCATGACCAAATTTGTCATTCTCTATCCACTGATTAATGGTTTATAAAATTTCACCAAGTTATTGATCGGTAACGCATTATAATGTGCATGGCCTTAGCTAATTCACCCTACGAAAGCTTCAGAACGTATTTAGAACGATGACGTGATTCGATCCTGTAATACGCTAATAGCTAACTCCTTATCAAAGAAAAGTGCAGAAATATCAGTCGTCTAAGGTCAGCTGAAGTCAGCTCTTGGTTTATGATCGTTCAGTATTTATGTACAGTATACTTTAACTGCTATTCACATATTTACAAAAGCCAACGAACAATTTTTCAATCCATCGAGTTATAATTAATATGTGTGTTATTTCGGTATATCTGTGTTTGTTTCGTCTATCCGATCACAAACTGCTACATTACGTATTGATGACTGCAGTATATTCACTGCAATTGTGTTTATACGTAATCTGCTTTAGTGCAAGCTATGGAATATTTGCCAGACAAGACATACCAGAAATTACATCTGTTGATGGTTTACCATTCAACATGGAACAGTAAACAAAAACTTAAATGCAGCAGAAACAAATATATAAGACGTGTATTATAATACAAGACGCGCACAGTCATACAACACGTGTTGATGAAAAAAATCGAAGATAAACAAAATGTATAAACCGGTGAACCATACAATGCTGGTAGAAAAAAAAAAATAGCTCATTTTCATTTACATATTAAATACAATCCTATTGCTTTAAATAAGGAAGTTTTACGCATGATGAAAGGGATTATTCGCTACAGGTTGTCTCTTCTAAAAATATCCATACACATACAATAAAAAACATCGCCGTCAGATACTCACACAAATAACATTGATATTGAATAATTATTCTTGTGAAAATAGAAATTGTGCTAACAAATCTTATAAATTCAATAATTAGGAATTTAATGAAATCGTCACTTACGAGGATTCAATATTTTGTCTTAATATCATTTATGTAGACACGTGTCCGCCCTGTTGTGGAATTCCACAGACCTAATTCCCACCGTCATATTCCAGAATGTTCGAATAAGCATGTGATATGAGGTCATATTTTGCTAGCGGAGCCAGATTTGTATTTTTTTTCGGGATGAAGGAGGGAGTGCCCCTCCCCGTAAATCCGCGCATAGATTTAGTGTCATGACCCCAAACATCACCCTCAAAGCTGGGATGTAACTTTATATAAGTATGAAAAAGACATGAGCAGAACGAGCGGCAGAATTAAAAAAAAAAAACGTGAGAATGTTTTCTCAAAGTGCAGTGTGTTGCCGATGATTGATTCACCGTGTTGACTCACTCATCTATTTACCTGTTTTATATGAAATTACCGTTTAATTTAACTAATCATTATTGCGTATCGATGGATAGCCGCAAGTATTTTATATTTCGATTCAATCGATCGTAAGCTAATCAATTTATTTAATTCACTCATCACTATATTATACTCGTTTCATTACACATCAGCAACTAATATCCCATACATATTACGTCAACTTGTTTTAGCTGCTATGACCTAATTAAAACAAAAGTGATATCATCGCCACATTTTTA